TTTAAAGTGATAGAGGACGTAGTTAGCGGCTCCGCACTCTTCACCTTCTCCCTAGTCTCGAAGACAAAGCGGGGTCCGGTGTAGGCTGCTGTATCAAATGCAAGCCAATACACTGCCTGACTTAGTCCTAAGTGACAGTAGATTTTGCGCGGGTACTACTGTACTATCTACCCTCACTCACCCATAGTACGTGTCTAGCCAGACTTTAGTAAACCAGGACTGGTACTTCTAATTCTAATACTACTTTCTAGGGTGTAGCTTAGTGATAGTACTTGTTGGTACTAGTACTGACTGTTTTGTAAGTCAGAAGTGACGCTGATTAAAGTCAGCACGGGGCTCATATCCCCTAAATTTTGGCAAGAAGTCTAATAGTACTGGTGCTGGCACTGACGCCACCATTTGTCGGAGGTGACGCTGAATAAGCCAACGCTAGGGCTCATATCCCCTTGATCTGAACAAGGTGTGTGAATCTGGGTCTAACTATTCCGGGTTTAGCTATTGCGGGTAAGTACATGCTTGGGGTCCTGAGAACAACAGCGTTCGCCTTGGTTTCCGCACTCTCGAGCTGTGTACGTTTCTGCTAGGTACGGACTAAGATACTGCTGCTATTGGTACGTGCCTATGCTAGAAGTGTTAATTCTAGTAATCGTGCTTACTAAGGCCGGTAGATAGTATACTATAAGCACTGCTTGTGTGAACGTTGAAAGAGTCGCACCCCGTATGCACTCCCAATCTGTGTGAGGAAATCGTGGTTAACATTTGGATAATAAAAGAGCGTCTGTAGAGTAGTGCACAAGTCTGCAGTATCTAGTTTTTTTTTACTCAGTTTCAGTGAGTATCGGCGTAGTGCCACGTAAGCGGGCCGCCGGATAGATGTGCAGGACCAACACGGGGGCCAGATTAGGACACAGCAATCTGTCGGCTATAAATCAGACGGACTCCGACCGCCTGTACCTGCTCCAGCCTCTGGTCTGTTTGAATATGTTTTAATACTAGGCACAGGCAGGTGAGGGAAAAGTTTGCGGTCGATGCAACGCGTGCATACTATTACTCAACAATAATAAGGGGGGAGGGGGCGTTGGCAGACTTTACTAATTCATTTGAGTGATTGATTGCTTAGGAAATCCTGCTTGGGCAGTAGTCAGCTTACTGCAGGCGGATTGGTGGATTTCATTCGTTGCGGTGTGATTAAATGCATGGCTCCCGGTGAGAGCCTCGTAACTCAGTTGGCTTTCATTACAAACTTACTGCTCTGGTAAAAAATAAATACAAAGTTGATAATCACAGCTGCGCGTAAGCAACTGTATAACTACATGAACTATCAGTGAGTAGTATGTTATACATATTAAGTGAGATCCGATTTACAACGGGCCGTCATTTAAAATAATAGTCGACAATATGGTGAACTGAGAAAGAGGCAGAGAAAATCTCCTAGAATTGAAATCGGTGCCAGAGTTCAGCGAGTCCCGAAGTTCCAAAAACATATAAGATAAAAAAAACTGCTTAAATAGGTAGTTAGTTTGATTTGCTATGATATGATGCAGTAAGATGAGGTCGTGCTGTTTAGGGTCCGGAACGCTCCTTATCGTTGGAAAAAAATCATATAGCTTCATGGGGTGAGACAAGAGGAGCTCATCGGGGACAACGGGATCGAAACGAGGAGGGGACCATAGAATTCACAAGAGCACTACCGAGAAGCAACCAGACAGACTTCAGAGTCAACCGAAAAGTTGACCAAAACGTAAGAACCCGCGACGATCATCAACAGAGACCTGGAAGACCACCTTCAGGG